TCATCCATGTCTTTTTCAGGAATGCCTTCCATACCATATATTTCCAGTTCAATATCAGTTCTTCCTGGTATTGCATTTGGAACAGCATCAATTGTTTCTTTATGTACCTAAACAAAGAAAAATCCAAGCCAAAATAAACAGGATGTAGATTAGAAACTACAACTATACAGAAGTTTAGATCTCCATTTACCAGATTTTTTGGGGGGGGGCAATCACAGTATCTCAATTTAATATTACCTCACAGGGTTGTTGTGATAATACAACAGGGCAAAAAACAATGTATACAGCCTGAAGTTCTTTGGAGAAGTGATATTTAAGTGTAATAATATAGATAAAATCATTAATACCCAATGGTCTTCTTACATTAAAAATAATCCAGTAATTCAATATGGTAGAAAGGGAGCACACCAACATGGTGCCAAAATCTTTTATGACTAACTGATGTGTCCTTGATTTTTCAGAGATTAATTCAACAGTTACTTAAATTATTATTTGACAAATACATCCTTGTTTTCTATTCAAGGACAATCAATCAAAATGAATTACACAATGCATTAAAATATACTGTTTACATATTGAATAATATTGCATTTAGTTATTCAACACAATTGATTGGCGTGCATAAAGTCTTTCCAGGCAAGGTAGAAATTTGGTGAAAAAGAGTGTTTTTTTTTCCAATCTGTCAGCCTGCCAACAGAGGAAGAGGTTGAAGAAAGAATAAAACACCAAACTGTTGAAGGAGAAAGAAACTACTCTTATTTGTCTGCTGCAAACCCAGCCTATATTTTTAAACAGCCTGACTTTTTACTCATAAATGAGGCCCTTCTTAAGTGTAAAATATAGACAGGCAACCACAGTTTTTGCAAGCTTATCTTCTTTTAAAGGCTTTGTGAGTTAACAATACAAAAATATGTCATGTTCAATGCCAGTCATCTTTGGTTGAGGTTCAGGTAGGAACAGTGGAAAAGACTCCTGGCCAGATCCTACAATGCCACCATGACAGTAAACCTGGGATTAGACTGATAAACAATATTTTGATCTGATTCTATATTCTATTTTAGTCTAATTCAGAAGCTTCTATTTTCCCAATTGATCCTTCCCACTATTGGCATGATCACATTGCTTTTGACATGTAGAAGAACAAACAGCTTACTCTCCTGAAATCCTTTCCTCCCCAATCTCTCTACAGAAGGATCTTGGGGGGGGGGTAGGGTCAAGCAAAGGAGAGACTGCCTTTAGAAACTGCTTGCTTTCCCCTCCCCCCCCATAGAGCAGAGATTGGAAAGGATTGCAAGAGAGTAAGCTGTCTGCTCTTCTACACATCGAAAGCAATGTAACCACCTAGGCAGCCCAGGGCTGGGAGCCACAGGCATGCTACACAAACAGCTTACTCTCTTGATATCCCTTCCTCTCCAATCTCTCTGCTCTGCAAGGGGGGGAAAAAAAGGAAAAAAACACAGGTCAGGCCCAGCATGTGTACTGACTGTAATGGCCATCACGTGACTAAGGGACACTGCAAAGGTCATAAATTGGCTGCAAAGTTATTTTTTCAGCACTGTTTCAAATGGTTGCTTAATGAGCGATTGGTAGGTGAGGACTACCTGTACTCAATTATGTAGCTTTACCTTTCCTCACCTTTTCTGCCCCTCTAGTTCTGTGTTCATTTGTCAGTTTGCTAATTATTGGTAGCCCTGTATGTAAAGCAAACATTTTTTAAAAAAGCAGATTTTAGCATTTAAAGGTATATTGTAATGACACCTGAAGAAATTGCCTAGAGAAGGCATTCCATAATGCTATTATCAAGGTAGACTCCTCCACTAGAAATGTGCAAAAATTTCTGTATTAGGGCACCCCACTCTCTCTTCTGATTTTGGTATATGTAGGTATAAATGAAATAGGAAAGATGCTTTGGATCCAATGTGGGTCCACTTGCTATACTTGTCAGTAGCACCTTAAAGATGATACACCTTTTCCCAGTTTAGTTATTATGCAACATCAAAAAGAGGTACAGCTTCTTTAAGGTGCTACCGACAGGTAGAACAACACTTGTTCTGAAATACCTTTCTCACTTGGGATCTGAATACTCCATAGCTCTAGCTTGTGTTTTCCTGGACAATTCTGGAAACATGCAAATCAATCCAAAGATGTTTGGATCACTCCATTCTTGGTTTGCACATCTGTCCTTCACTCCTATTAATAGTTTCAAAACTTTAGGTGCCAGCTCTCCATGTATATCTATCACCAATGTAGGTAGACCCTGGGTTAAGAACACCCAGGTTACAAATGACCCATAGTTGAGAATGGAGCCTACTGTAGCAACATTTGAGTTAAATACACAATGGTTCGAATTCCAGCTTACATACAAATTCGACAAATTAAGGACAGATCTCGGGAAGGGAACTTGTTCTTAAACTGGGGACTACCTGTACTGCTTATTTTCTAATCAAATAACTCTTCCAATCTTCTACTGATGCATCTGTTTTTGTAATACATCAATGGCATTTGTGAATAACAAACATTAGTAAAATGTTCATTTTCTTACCTAAGACTGTAAAGATTATGAAACAAAAGCATATATAAACAATAATACAGATAATCATATATATGTGGGTATACTATAATACTTACCTGCATACAGTGTATAGCTAAACCAGGCCCAGTATACAGTTTCTTATGACATATATGGCATTTAAAGTGCTTTGCTTTTTGGTGTTGAATAAGAATTTTCTCATCATCAAAATCCCTGTTACAATACCTATTCCACATCGTTAAAGAAGTCAAACACATATGCTAAAATTAAACACATACATTAATCAAGATTACTATAATCATTTTTAAAGAAAGCTGTACAATCCTTAAAGGTAACCTATTTCCAATTAAAGTTTAATTACTTATATAAGTCAAGGTTTCATAAATATTTTCTCACCACCAAAGACAACCAGAAGATATCCAACATTTACTGATTTGGAAGGTGACTATAATAACTCCTGTGTTAAAGGGCAACACAATATACTGCTGGATGAGAAATTTTCAAGGTCAGAACTCCACAAATGTTGGTGTAAAATGTTGGAGTAGTCAACCATTGTTTATGATGCCATCTATCATATAGATCTTATGTTCTTTGCCTATACTAGAGGCCCTGGGATAGGGGAAGGTCACACTGACTCTCTGAACATACAGAAGTAACAATACTGTTTCCTAGAGAAAGACTGCTTTCAAGCTCTTCAACTGTACTAATGGTCTTGCTTTTTGAAAATATGTGGATAGTCACATCTTCATACTTAACTTATATAAAGCTAACATGGAAAATAGGAGAAAGAAAACTACCAAACACTTAGGAAGTGTTCCTAATAGTTACACATAATGCTACTTCCCATACCTAATCTACTGAGAAGTAAGAGAAATAAATCTAGGTATCTGACAAACATCTACCAAAAAACAGGTGTACACACAGTTTTGGCCTACTACCAGCATGATACCCATAAATTAACAAAATACGCTTTTTCTACCCATAAATGTTATGGCAAATAGTCGTAAGAGCACAGGCTTTAGCAGCAGCAGCAAATAGGAACGGATACGCTGCTAGATCAAGACCCAAGAAAATCTAACCCAACTATTTCCTCCTGAATACGAGTATACAATTTCTAATTTCCAAATGATGTGGGAACAAAAGGGGTGGAGCGCAAATTCCAAAAGGAGAGCAGCTCTGAAACCCAATAAAACTTAAGGCTCCGGATCTGGAGTGCAAAAATCTGGACGACTACTAGATGGCAACAAAGTGAGAGTTTTTTTAATCTGTTTCCTGCCGCCGTCCGAATTTTTGCCGGATCTGGCAACCCTAGCAAACTAGGCCGCTGAGGCGCTCCATCACTAGAGGAAAGGGATCGCTACCAAAGCAGGCCAGTCAGGCCTCCTTCCCGATTTGAAACGAGAGGCAGCGGCTCGCCGCGTAGAAAAGGATACCAGCACCAAGGCTTTAGCTGCTTCTTCTTCTTCCGACCCATGACGAAAAGACAACGGCTCAGTAGGGAAACTCCAAAACGGCGAAAGTCACGGACCGTGAACGCCGGCCGACCGCGCGCGCTCCCTTCTCCTCGCTTCTCAGCCAGGCATAAAATGGCCGCTCCTCCGCCGAATCCCTACGCTTCCCAAAATGCCACGCGCGGGCACGTGTATTGTCGAAAAGACCTCGCGAATTGTTGCGTCACTTGTTCCTTCGCGGCAGGCGGGGTGGCGGTAACTGTTGCTGTCGAGCGTTTCTTGCCCGCGTGGGTTGCTTTTTGTGGGTGTTCTTTCCACTGCGACTTGGCGATTTTTCTAAAACACCGAAGTCCTGAAATTATGGCTTGGCACTCCGTAGTTTAGGGATGTTCATAGTGTTCATGTTGCCTTCCACGTGAATGAGACTGTTTCTGCGAATGAATCAGATTCTTTAAGTGGGATTTTTTTTTTTCGCAGCGAAGATGCTGCTTCATCTTCGAAGGTTTATATAGCTCAATCCTGTACATGCCTGTTGGGAAGTAAGTCCACTTAAGATTCAGTGGGAAACTAAGGGCACTACAATTAAGTATTGTGGAAATACTTAAGACGTTCTGAGAGAGCATCTATCAAGTTAGATAAGACTAATAAAAAATAAATAGTATTTGACCGCCCCATCCGGTATATGCTTACTTGAGTCATACTGAGATCAGTAATTCGTGTATAAATCAAATCAGTTCATTGTAGCCCTAAGGCCAGAAGTAAATTTAAACAAGCTTGCAATTGGAATGACTTTTTACTTAAACGAATCGTGAATGTAATCCCACTGATTTCAGTAAGAATACGGTTCAACTAAACTAATACCGATTTTTTAAAAACTCCGTAAAATTGGGGAACGAGTGCTAATTGAGCCAGCGTGAGCGTTGAAGGTGCACACGTGTATGCTTGCCCGGAACATCGTCACAATTTCAGGCGTCCGGCTGCGTCGGTCCTCGCCCGGCCGTGGCAACATGTTTGTGGCGGAACCTTTGTGAAGCTATGAGGAGAGAGTGCGGACTCGAGGAGTAGAATAGGGCGTTGCACTGTACGGCAATGGGGGAACGGATTTTCTTCGCTCCGAGTTCGCAAGCAAAGATGTTGCCGTCCCTTCAGGAATCCGTAGACGGAGATGAAAGGGAGCTGGAGAGCAGCGAGGAGGGAGGCGGCTTACCGGAGGAACAGAAACCGGAGCGTAGCAGCAACAGCTATCACTGCTTGTACGGCTACCGAGGCTGCCGGTAAGAGAGCGAGGGCTGCTCGGCCGCGTCCCTGCGTGCTTTCTCTTGCCCTGTGTCTCCAGCCTGAACCATTAAAGGCTCCAGATCTCTCTTGCTAATCCTTCATGATGTCTTATTTTAATCTGGCCTCTCCGAATCTGAGGCTCTTGGATGAATTCATTCCTACCGTCCCACCCCAGGAAGGTGTCTGAGAGCGATGGGCTCGTTATTCAATGCATCTGTGGCGCACCAAGTTAGATGTTTAGTAAATGACGCTGAAAGTTGCTGGCCAGAAATGGTCGACGCTTCAGCGGTTCGAGGCCAGCCTTCGCGTTAGCAGGGTGAGCTCCTGTTTCACCCCCAGTTCCTGTCAACCCAGCAGTTCGAAAAAAAACTCACGTGAGTAGATAAAGGGGGACTCTCACACCAGTGGGAGGAAAAATGCTGGCGGTGCCTTGCAAAAAGGAGTCGGGACCAGTTGCCGGTAAGCG